CATACTGCTAGGCTTGCCAGGTGCTTGTATGCAATAGACATCACTTCGGACTTTCTTCTCAGCATAGCCATCCTGATTGCCTGATCTCTGTCGCATTTTCTTCATATGGGACATGGTCAGTCACTGCAAAATATGTCTGACCTAGCTGTGCAGTTATAACGAATTTGGTGAGACATCCCTCAGGACAGCATTAGATGTTCATATGAAACTGTGCCAGATAACATCAGTGCTTGCACAGCCCTATGAAATATTAATCTGTAACAGTTGAAATGATCTTACTGCAACGAATGATGTTACTGACTTGTTAGATTTTTACATTTAATAAAGCAGTATTTTAGTGACTAAAAAAAAATAATTTTTGAGAACATGGTTAGATGTTCTACCTTCTAAAATGTATATTTTGATGTTTGCTTATACCAGATGAATAAAAACATTAAATCAAATGAATTTAATGCTGTTGACTGTCCAAATGAATATATTATAGTTTCTTAAGATTACAAAAAAAAAAAAAAAAAAAAAAAAATGTTTCTTCCGAGTCTTATTCACATATATTTTAATTAATAAGAAGGATACTTTATCTTTTTATACCATGTATTGGATGTAATTTCTTTTGAAAAAATTTACTATATGTATGTTTTAGCACTTATTTGTTTATTACTGTACTTGATGATTTTTCTAAGGCTTTTCTTTCATATGGTACTTTTTGATTATTCACAACTCCACTAAAAAGTTATAAAAAAGTACTGATGAGGTAGCACACTATGTTGTGAAAAAGTATTTATATGGGAACCAGATATGCACATGTGTGTTTGAGTATGTACGGATTTGTATTTTTGAAATTCAGTCATCATTTTTATTAGTACAGTACAGAGTCTGTAATCCGGATCTCAAAGCCACAAATTTACACATGCTCGTTTGTTGCGTGCATCCACTACGTATGCGCGTAAAGCCAGTAAAGCGTTTACACATGCGCGCTTCCGATAGTGAAGTGACAGAGAATTTTAAGTGACAGAGAATGAAAACAAAATGTTATTGTTATTGAAAATGAAAAAAATTTGATTGACAAGTTAGTCAGCATTCTCGACACAGCAATTACAGGATTTGAACAGTGGAACTTTGTAACTGAACAAGAAATTATGTCTGTTTATAGAAGAGAGAATTAAAGAGAACGTATTAGCACTAAAAACGGAGCATTTTAAACAACTTACATTGAAAGAAATGTTTAATAAAGTATAAATATCAAGCTCTTTTTTTTTTTAGTAAATTTTGATACCCTTTAGATCATAATTGCTCTTTATTTCATAAATTACGGTTTCATATTTTTAACTGTATAATTTCTGCATGCCATCTTACCAGATTTAGATGCTCTATAATCCGGAAAAACCCCTCATCCGGAATCACCCAAGTCCCGACGAGTCCGGATTACGAACTTTGTACTGTATTTCTTTTTACGTTGAATGCATTTCTTTTTATTGTAATAACTCACAGTGACCATGTGGAATTTGATGATTGATGAAAAAGATAGCTTTGAATTTAATGTAAAGTTTCACATTCTGTGAAGCTGTACTTCTTAAACAATTGAATTTTATGGTAATACAATGTGAAAATTTTAAGCAGTCTTTGAATGTAGTTTGGAAACTGGCTTGAAGCTAGTCCTATCTTATTTACAGCAGCTATTTCCTTTATTTATTGTTCAACAAGGAAATAGACATAAGTAAAATTCTAGAAAGAACAACAGGGAACCTCTAAGATGTGTGTATGTCTTTTGTAGGGAAAAAAATATTTAAAAAAAAAAAAAAAGAAGGTGGCACTGGATGCATCGTTGAAATGGATATAATGATACTCAAACAAACACTTTTGTCTAAAATTTACAAGCAATCACTGTGCAGATAATCAAAAAGTACCATATGTTTAATTTTTATATTTATTAATCTTGTGGCAATGGCCATTAATAATTTTATGACATATTAATGATTGAAATGTTCATTATCTGATTGCGAGATCTACTTATCCAAGTTAAATGGCAACTGAAGCCTGTAAATATTCTTCTGTACTTAAGTTGCTAAAAACTATGACTTCATAAAGCATTTGCTAATTCACAAGCAGTCATTGTTTCCTTTGTGATGTGTACAAAAAAAAATTTATTTCATATTTTCCATTTTCATCTTCATTCTTATTATCAATGTATAAATCATCATCTTATGTAGTCGACTTGCTTTTATCTTGATTATTTTTTTAAATTTCACTTTGGTTTCCTTCTCACAGAATTATTTTTATCACTATTTCTGTTTTCTTTTAATTCATATTTTTTCATTTATTGAATATAAATTTACATCAAATGCAGATCTCAGAACACTTTTTTCCCTTGCATTTCTGTTGTATAATTTTTGCCATTTTTTTTTTCGGGCCAGTGGTGTACTAATTGCTTCTGTTGCACTATGGGAGAATAATTAAGGAACAATTTGAAAATCTTTCCCTACATCTCTTTTTCTAATTTGGAATCTTTTTGTAAGGTTAATTTTTTTTTAGTGAGGTTCAATTTATTCTATCTATTGTTCCATTTCAGTGTGGTGATAAAGGAACCCTATAATTCAAAGTAATTCCTTTGTTTTCATATCAACTAATAAATTGTTCTTAATTGTTGCATCTAAATTTTAATATATTTTATATTCCATGTAGCTTCAAATTCTACTACAAATTTTTTTTCTGCATTAACCATTTCATATTTACAGTTTATTAAATATACCATCAAAACTGTATATAGTCATTGACAAAAGTTATAAATATTTCTTCTTATCCCGTGTTGCTAGGTCATTTGGTTCACACACATCAGTATGAATTATTTCTAAGGATCACTTAGTTTTCATTCTTGCAGAATTAAAAGGCATTCTTGTTTTTGTTGCTTGCAAGCATTTATCCCTGACAGAATCATTCTTTTGACAATGATCGGAAATCTTCACACCATCAAGTATGAAATCATCAAAACAGCATAAGTTTCTTCCTATCATTCTAACCATGATGCCCTAGTTTCTTATGCCAGTATGGCTTCAGACACCTTCCCTTAAATTCAGTCACTTGCATTCTTAAATTTTTTGTCAAGAATTTTGTTATACAAATTATTTTCAGTTCTATATCTGTCTAAAACCATTCCACCATCTTTTTTTACTTCTACTTTATTATCCAAAATTCATCACTACTATTATATTAGTTATAACACATACTAACAGTAAGTTCTTACTTAGCTGTCGAACATACTATAAGATATCATTTAAAATATTTTAATTAGCTTCCAAAGTTCTTATTTTGATGAGATATTTCAGCTAAAATGTTTCTGATGGTATAATTTTTTGAATCGAGTAATAGTTTTTCATTATTGACTTTGTATGATGAGGAACCTGAATTAACTAGCTGCCCTGTTTATATCATTATTATTTGCTTTATTAATTCTTAGAAATAATGCATGTTGACTATTAGTACTAACATGACTTCATCTTCATAGAAAAACGTGTCTTGTATCATTATGAATATTTTTCTTACATATTTTGCAAAACTGTTTTGAGAATTTTTGTTATTAGAATAAGCCAAATGTCTATTTTTGTTACATTTAAAATACCTCTTCTCAGTTGATTTGGCTTTATTACAAAAACAAGTTGTCCACATACATTTTAACTATTAAACATCTTTATCATGAATTGTGGTGGAATTTGTTTAGATATTATCTGCTACAATTAATCTAACTGTTAAATTTGTTAATGTTTTGTCACCAGTTAGCACTGATGTATAAGCATTAGTGAAATATTTATATTTAACTGGTTAAGTTACCAAAATTCCACAAATTATAATTTTTCCATCAATTTATTTTTTTACTATATTTAACATATATGCCAAGTTTTTCATTTTACTAATAGGGTAAGTTGCATCCATTTTTCTTCATGTTTAATATTGGAAAAAAATCTATGACTAATACCATTTTTATTTATAGCTATATATTAATTTTTTTAATTATATTAACAATTCTTCATAAATTACTTTTTTGTAAACCATTTTTCATTTAAATAATGTGAATATCTGACTACTATAGTAAAAATTATAACATATAAAAAAATATCTTTCCTCTTTATGTATAAGTTCACATAAACATTCATCACAGAATGCTTTATTTCTTTTCTGTGTAGAAGTTTTTGGAAAAAGGAGTTCCTGAGGGCTTCCTTTAAATTAACGTAATAGAGTTGCAGGGAAAACAGGGCTGTGATATTTAAAAGACAAACATAATGCAATTACAGATTTGCAACTGCGTTTCTAGCTACATAAAGACTCAGCAACAGAAGGCTTGTACATAACAAGAATATTGACATCTGTTGCCATCCATTTAAAAATAATTATATAAATAAAAATTGTCCTTTAACATCTTAAAAAATATATAAGGCTTCACTCTAATGATTGACCTTACATTTGTGAACGTTTGTGTGTAATAAAGCTTTTCAACAAAAACAAGTAGTTGAACATTTAAGGATTCATAATGAGAAATGACCTCATGTATGTGAAGATTGTAACAAAGGTTTTCGTCAAAAAAGTGCCATCTCATTGTCTTCTAAGAAATCATGCTGCATAGTGGCCATGCATAGTTTGTGAAGTGTGCAACAACGCTATTTAAAGAAAACATTTTCTTGATCATCAGATAAAGAGGCGTACTACTGAATAATGATTTTTAAGACTCCAATTATGGTAACAAATACAGACATATATAGTTATATACTTCATTAATGTTAATTTTTCTTCAAAAGCATGTTGCATGATATGCATTTTATATTAATGTGTTTTAATGTATATTATTAAAAAGAAACAAAGATAGAAATATTTATGGTGGCTTAAAATTTTTATTAACCTACTGTAAAAAATCAAATTATCTGCTGGCCAAAAATTGTGGGTGCAATCAAATTGTTGACAAAACTATAATATTTTCATAAAATTTGAATGACTGAAATTTCTTTGTTTTACAGGTTATGAAATCCAGTGTTTAAGTGAAATCTTCAGATGCCCCGTTGCTCCTATGTTACTGAAAGAATCTGTAATCGTCATGAATGTTTACAACTTCATAAGAAATATTGTCCTTTCAATTGTGGTATTTGCAAGAATGGTTTTACTCAGAAAAGTAATTTTAAAGTTCATTTAAGGCTTCAAGTTGCTGAGCGTTGCATTTGCCAAATTTGTAACACAACTTTTCAGTTAAAAGGATTTGTAGTTGAACATTTTAGGATTCATACTAAAAATTGACCTTATGTTTATGAAATGTGTGTGAAAGGTTTTAAGGGAAAATGCCATCTTGAGAGACATTTAAAGATTCATACCAATAAATAGTTAACTGAATGCACTATTTATGGTAAAAATTTGAACATAAAATTGAGTGCAGTACTATTGTTATTGTCATGTGTATCAGTAATGTTGAGTTTTCTTCAAAATCATTTCTTCAAAATCATAGTCCTCCATGATATATCATATTGATTATGAAATATTTTTATTTTGCAAATCCGAAATATAAATTTTTGTTAATATGTAATGGACAAAATGCAAAAAAAAAATAACTCTATATATATTTATATGTTTTGATGTTTCATGTGTACATTTTATGTGCATGTGCTTTTTTATATCATTATAAAAAAGAGGTAAAAACAGAAATACTTCTGACTTCATGTTTTGTTAAGACATCATAAGAAATTTTTAGTTTTGCAGAATTTGAGGTCTTCCTTAGATACTTATGTGTTATTTCAACTCTTTAGTTTATTGCAGTTTTGTGAATTTTACAGAAGAAAAGAACAATCACTTTTATTGTAAAAAATTATACATTACATACATACATGTGATTATACACATATTCTACATTTCAACTACCTATACCAAAAGACAATCAGTAAACTTAATTATAAATCAGTTTTTGTGTGTTCATTGTGATGGAAATTTCACAGTGATTGCTTTGAGACAGAATTCGAAGCATTGTTTGTTTAGCGATTTTGCTATGAAATAATATAGTCCTGCAGAAATTTCAGAAAAATTCCACAAGCATAAATTTTAAAATTGATTTAAGACCAAAAATTATCATAATTTTTGTATTAAAGCTGTTTGAACTTTGCATACTACAAAAAGAATGCATATAAAAATGGTGACATTGAGAACTGAATATTTGTCGTGTGTGTGGTTGCCTGAGTAATTCTTATTCTTGTGGCTATAAGAGTTTAGTATATTCTGAAGCTTTGGCAATTTCTGCTAAGGTGGTTGCAATAATACATGCAAACATATATGCCCTTCCAAAAATATATGCAGGCATTACAAAAATGTGACTTGAGTAATAATAATAATGAATAATAAATAAATTTGATTACCAGCAAAACTGGTACTTTTTCTGACAGAAAAAATGTGCTATATAGGTAAAAAGGTAGTTCTGAAAAATGTGCTATTTAGGTGGAAAAAAAGAAAAAAGATTGTCCTCTGAGAGCTGCTATCAGAAGTAATGAGCCTAATCGTTATTCATTGCTAGATTTACTTAAGTGCAGAAAATGACTCTACATAGTGTTTTGCACTGTTAATGTCCTTATTTGACTTGTCAGACATTGTGTAAATGCTGTCTCTCCTCATTACCTTACAAGAAATTTGGCAACAAATTGTACAGACAAGCATTCCCAAACTGTTACACAGTTACAGAAGCGTTGCCTGACTGCTAATTTGATATATGTTATTATATGGGAGGTTGTATGCATTAGTTGTCTTATGTAGTGAAATTTTATCTTTTCCATAGCAAGAGGTGTATGACTTTTTTTTTCCCCCATTATGAATAGTGCTATATTAAATGCATGGGTTCCAGGTGAGGTATCAACAAAATCTTTTTTATCCCATATGAACTCTTACTTATTTTAATTTCATCTAATAATTATTTAAATATTTAATAAATATCTTTGACATCAGGATCTTTATATTCTTCAGGAACAGCACAAATATTAAAAAAGTTTTCAAATGTAGGTTAAAGTCATTTAGTCTTTTTTAAAGTCATGTTTAAAAAAGAAGTGGAGGTGAATACTATGTGTTTTATATGCAGCATTGTGCAATGTGAGGTATGCTAGGGCAAGGCAAAAGAAGTTCTAGTGCCTTCTGTATACTATTTATATTGTAAACATAGTTTCAAAGGTAATTATTTTTACAACTAATCTGTAAAACTATAAGCTTCTGATTATTTCCTGCGAACTTCATGAAAAAAGTAAAATCAAGCTTTTAACAAATTTAACTATCTCTGTGTATACCATTGGTGCTTCATGACTTGATGCTGAATATTATTTTATTTGGATTGACGCATTTTATTAGATTTAATACAGGCTAGAAAGGGATGTGCATAATTAACACATCTTAAGCAGGTGTACACATCTTAAACTCTCACCATACAATGGATGATTTTTTTTTTATTAAATTACTTCAAAATTACTTCTGCTTTGTGGCAAAACCATTGCCAGTTAAAGGATTAAAAAAATAAAAACGATTTCTCAAAAATAAAAAAAATAATAATATTTTAAAGTGGGATATCTTTTAAAGCACTTTTCTTTTGTGCCAAAGTACACTGCAGAACACACACAACATATTGTCTAAGTTTTTTTTTTTTTTTTTTTTTTTTTAAATTTTATTTCCATGATTGGTTCTAATGTATGCTTACTTATGTCTATGGGAAATTGTAATTTGTTGCTTTTTTCTAATGCCAGATCTTGATGGTAGGGGTGTCGTACCTTTTTTACCCTAAAAGCACATTTTAGAATATCTGTTGGACGGCAGGCACCATTTACTTTTTCAAGGTAAATTTATAGTTGGATGGAGTTAATAATACATGCACATTAAAAAAAAAGCTCGGTCGCATTTCACTTTGTGCTAATATCTGTGTTGGACGCAAATTCTATTTCATTAAAAATGAGAAAACTTTCACATAGAATTTTATTGAAAACTTAAGCATTTTTATTGTGATTGCACAGCAGTGAGCACATGTCAGCTGGTGCCATGGTGCATAAGGTTGGGAGCCCCTGGTATATAGTGTTAATGGATGCTTGCATGACACAAGTATGTTATTCTATCAGCAAAAATAAACTGGCACATCACAGCTCAGCTGGTGCAAATAAGTTTCTGTCTGCTACAGGGCAGTAGATCTCCCTCAAAATTGAAGCCAGACGTGTGCAAGAGGGAGAAAACTATAAACCCCTAGATCTGTTGTGTGTGTGTCTAATTGTTCGGATAGCACTGTACTGCCTGTCTGCAATGGTGTCATGAGCATCGCAATTGCACTGAACAGGACTGGACTTGCATAATAATCTCAGATAAGAATAACTTCAGTCTGCCATCAGTTTGTAGATGCCAACTGATGAAAGAAGTACTGCTTATCATCCAAAAAATATCCAGGAAAAGGACCAGTATCTGAGATGCAGTATCATGGTATGGGCCAACATCATGAAAAATAACCGCCTGCCCCTATGTGTGCCTGCAACTGGGTCTGTGACTGGCTAACAATACATTAATGTAATTTTACTGCCTCACATTTACCTTTTCATTAGTGCTTTCAGTGACAAATTTATTTTAGTATAGTGTTTACATTATATATGCTATATTACCAGAATATTTTTGGTATTTATTCCTGATTGCCCAAAATATTCTTCCAAGACTGATGGATTGTCTACTGATGAACATTTTTCTTCAGAATCAGAACAAACCAAATTCGAGCTTGAAATTCGTGGTTGGCACTACAATCATCATCGGTAAGTTCATTCTTGCAGGAATTAAACTATTAATATACAGTTCTTCATCATCACATTCTATTCCATCCTGGTCCAGTTTTAAGAATTTATAGTAAAAAAAAAATAATAATAATTTTCTCACCAAAAATTCACCGATAACAATAATCCACTGATAATTTGTAGAATTCATTTTATTATCTTCTGCACTTTAATAACAATATGCCCAAAACGAGTGTATTCATTTCCTGCTTTTGTGGATGAATAATTTGGTATCCAGAGAAGGAATGTTGATAGGACATTTGGAAAGTCAATTTAGAACATTATACATTTGAATGGCCTTGGATATGCTTGCTGTCTTTCTAAATAATTTAAATGGCAGTATTTTGTAGAATATGAAGGCTAATGTTATTGTAAGTTGTAATAGAAATCCAACTACTAAATTTGTTTTTAAAAAATTTTTAAACTCTCTTTTCTGATGAGTTCCATTTCCAAGCAAATCTGAATTGTCAGTTTTTATTCAAAATGCTATAATAATGGAATCGAACTAATAATTGTTTAATTCGAGAGCTAGTTTTTCATAGTTTAGTTTTCACACAATCGGTATGTAAATTTATAGGTAGTAGAAAAATTAGTAACATTTATTACATTGAATCTGATAATATTTGAATTTCATTATATTTTATTTCCTTATTACTATCTATGCTTAATTGGAAGATTAGTGTTTTCATTGGAAATATGAATTAATAAAATATTTTGTTAAATTGATTTATACCACATTTAAATATACATTTATTTGAATCAAACATTTAAATTTCTTTCAATTTCAGTTTGCATTTTAACATGACTTCCCATTACATCAGAATTTGTCACATTTTAGTGCAGGAAAAATGTTACTGCTAGCTTTCTTTTATTCGCTAGAACTTTTTTATTTTTCTATTTTTTAATTAAATTTTGGTTTGAAGCAATTAATTGCTTTTAATGTGTAACAAAGCTTTAAACAGATATATGATTTAAATGTTCATTTAAAGATTGGTAGCAAGGAATAACTGTTCTGCAGAATTATTATTGTAGTTATGTGCTTCAGTAATATTCATTATTCTTCAAAAACATAAGATTTGATATTGAGTTATATTAATTATGAAATTTTATCTTTTATTTTACGGATCAAAATATATTTTAAAGTGTATTTTTGAATTCTCTGAATTATTTTACTTTAAAATCTTTATGCTGATACAGATTTTTCTTTTGTGTATGCATTTTATAATCATGTATTTTTAATATTCATTGTAAGGAAAAAAATAGGGAAAATATGTTTTGAAATTTTACTAACCCAGTGTAAGAAAATTTGTCACTTACTGATAAAAACATTGTGCTTAAAATTATTATATTATAAAGTTGCAGTCTATTCGTAAAATATTAATTCTTCTAATTTTCTTTATTTTGTAGATTACCAAGTTCAAAGAGAAGTCTTCAGATGTTCCTTTTGCTCATATGTTACGGAAATGAGCTATGATTTTGAAGAACATGTGCTACTTCATAAGAAATTTCCTCCTTTCATTTGTGGTATTTGCAAAAAAACTTGTACTCTGAAAAGTAATCTTAAAAGACATTTAAGGTTTCACTTTGGTGAACGACCTTATGTTTGCAAAATTTGTAATAAATCTTTTCAGCAAAAACAACATGTAGCTGTACATTTAAGGATTCATACTGGAGAACGACCATATGTTTGTAAGATGTGTAACAAAGGTTTTACTCAAAAACATACTCTTGACTACCATCTGAGAATACATGCTGGAGAGCGGCCGTATGTTTGTGAGGTGTGTAACAAAGGTTTTAGGACAAAAAACCATCTTGATGGGCATTTAAAGAATCATGCCCAGGAATAACTACGTTAATACAATTTTTATGGTAAAAATTGCAAACATAATATTGGAGTGCAATGCTATTATTGTGGTCATGTGCATTAGTAATGTTGATTTTTCTTCACGACTGTGATGTTATGTGTGATACTATATTAATTGTGACATATGTTTTATTTTGCAAGATGGGAAGGATGACTTTGTGTAGTGTTTTACACCCCCCTAGTGTTTCACCTATTTTAATTCAGTCAGAATTTGGTATTATCACTGCATATCGTTCGGAAGAAGATTCTTGTATTCAGGATCGATTCAGAGCTTGAGGCCCAATTCACAGCATTCTATTTTGAGGCTCTACATTCTCAATTTTGCTTGTTTTAATAAACGAAAAGTAGAAGCTGTCTTGCATAAATATTAAATAAGTATGAGACAGAAACGATAGGTAAACTTTTATGTGTATTTTTTTAATGCGTGTGCTTTTGCTATAACAAATTGAATTATGCGATGACTATCTCTACCTTTAGTTTATCATTGCGTTAAAAATGAAGATTTATGAGTTAAGCATTAAAAATTTATTACCATATTAGTAGCACATTTTCAACCTTGGATTCAATGCCTTTTTCACTCGTTCGAAGCAAAACGCATAAATTCACCGTCAGTTTAACGATATCTTAAATAGAAGTTAATAGCTTTTAAAACTTACGAACAGTGAATATCATATTATAAATTAAGTTTTGTAAGTCAACATTCGTGAGTTTCAAACTAATGAAGAAATTTATGTTTGTTTCTTTATTTAATCTGTGGCAAGTATATACGCGCTATCTGCCTTAAGGTAAATCAACTTTTATGTTCCGTCCCATCGATTAAGGCAGTACATGTTCAAAACCCTATCCTCTGTATTAGGCAGGAGAGTTAGGAGACAGTAAAAAAAAAAAACCACCTCAAGAGAGGGATAGACAAACTCACTTACTACAGACAGAACATTCAATCCCGGAATGCAGACTTTAAAATAAAACTCTCTCTTAGGCCTGACGCTGAATCGGAACACCGAGCATATGACTCATTCAGTGTAATTTGGCCGTCACACGACCCCTGGGATAACCGAAGTCAATATCAGTCACGCTGCCCTTTCATGTCAGTGAAAATCGGGTTCGTGTTATTTTGTCCTCAGAGCCGCTACTGTTATAGCATATAATATTAAGCGAGTGCATGCAACCCCATGGGTCTGTCTAAGGATGGATGATTTCGTGGAGGAATTTATAAGGGAAACTGAACTCGGACTCAACATTACCTCGATGAAACCCAAGAAAACAAACACGCAGCCAACCCATTCACCAAGATTTCAATGCGAGTCAAACTATTAGTGTTAAGCAGTTTTACCAACTCGTCAATTGGCGAGTTCTGAAGATTACGAGAAAGGAACAGCGAATGTGGAATCATCCGATTCCTAATGCGAAGATGGCGTGAACGTGAATAGTGTATTTCTGATGAAGTAAGTGACGCTCTACAATGAAAAAAAAAAAAAAAAAAAAAAAAAAAAAAAAAAAAAAGTTGGCATTTATCAAGGAAGAGTCTGTTTAACACATTAACACAAAAAAATTTAAATACATAAACAGATTCTTTGCAGTAACATTTCTGTTTTACGTGTTTTTAAAATAAAAACAGCTAGATATAGTAGAAACAAAAATTTCAGCATTTTGTAACATACATCAAATATGAAACTGAATGAAGTGTTGACTATGTAGCGATAGTCTAGATGTAAGAACAATTTCTTTTAGTCTCCCAATAATCGCTACATTAAGATTTGACTAAATTTGTAATCACAAAAAATTAAATTTCGATTTTATTATTTCTCATTTGCAAGAACTGATACGCTAGCTTTATGAAAACATCGTATAAGTCACATATTCATTCTCTACTTCTGTAGTGACATTAGGTTTTTTTCAGAGCATGGACCTTTCAACTGCTAGCTGGACATGCTACCACATACACTTCAAAATGCACGAGCGAATGCCATAATTTTGTATATTTTCTTTCCCTTTACAAGGCAAGTGGGGACAGATACGAGATTCAATCGACTAAACACGGGATATTTCGAATTACTGTCCACTACATTTTTAATTCGGGCGCAACTGTACGGTTTACATTTCTGCTGTAATCGGTATAGTGGTTGGTCTCAGGTTCGAATCGCGGGGGAAGAAATGGATGTTTGTAAGTGTTTGTGCGGCAAAGGAGCACTCAAAATACACGACAAGGCCAAAAGTCCTCTCAAGTGGTTGCTGGTAAGGGAAAAGAAATTGGAGACTCTGGGATCGCCCCCGCCAGGATGCTCTCCATAAAAACTGAGGCAGATTTTAATAGCCAGTGCGGCGGGACTACACTGCCACAACATCAAAGGTGAATAACTGGTGTACTGTCTCACTTACACTTGTACCTGTACTTGGTGTGACTGGTGTCCTGCCCCACTTACACTTGTACCTGTACTGGTGTGGCTTATTTTAACTGATGCCAGTTTACTTCTTATGTTTAAACCAGTCCTGCACTACTTTTCCATGAACTCCACCAGAATATGCAAATGAAGTGAGAATAATGAATAGTGAAAAAAGAGCGAAAATCGAACTTAGGTAGATATCGAAACAGAAATTAGATATAGAAAGATTTGGCTTCATCATCCTGACGAAATGAAACTCATCTGTTACAGTTCGCCTTAAGCGCATTTGCTACCACCTGATAAGTTTCTCTTTAATTTAAAATTAAGGTCTGTTCAGGCGGCAGACAACAAGCCAATCTTTACCTATTTTACACTATTATAATTACTTTCAAATGTCAATTTAGTTAATTGTGTTACTTCTGTAATTTCAGATGGAAGTTTCAATAATTTTTTTTCAATTATTTAACACTGTCGCATTTACATTGTGTTCTGCTTTTAAAAATTAAAGACAGGTCAATAATTCGTTCGGCAATTTTAGAAGGTAAGGCTATTATTTAGTTTAAATCAAATATAAACTTATATTTCCTTGTATTATATTATCATTACATATTTTCTTGGTAAATAAAGGCAAAACAGGAAAACGGTCTGTGGTAATATTCCGAAATTCCAATAACAAAATGAATGTAATGATACGCATTATGACATTGGCCTTTAAATCATTAAAATTTAAATTGCAAGGAAAGCGAAATTTAAATCCCAGTATTTCCAAATTTACGGAAGTTAGCAATAAAATTAAAATTAGTGATTTCGGATTACATAAGTGGGCTCTAGCTCAAAATACACTGAGGTGACAAAAGTCATGGGATACCTCCTAATATCGGGTCGGACCTCCTTTTGCCCGGCGAAAGGCAAAAACTCGATGTGGCGTGGATTAAACAAGTCGTTGAAAGTACCATATTTAGCCATGGTCCATAATTCCGAAAGTGTTGCCGGTGAAGGATTTTGTGCACGAACTGATCTCTCGATTATGTCCCATAAATGTTCAATGGGATTCATGTCGGCAGATCTAAGTGGCTAAATCATTTGCGGAAAATAACCCAGAATGTTCTTGAAACCAATCGCGAACAGATGTGGCCCGATGACATGGCACATTTGTCCTCCATAAAAATTTCATCGTTGTTTCGGTACATGAAGTCCAAGTGGTGCTGCAAGTGGTCTCCAAGTATGTGAACACAACCATTTCCTATCAATGATCTGTTCAGAGGACCCATGCCATGCTATTAAAAAACAGCCCACACCTTCACGGAGGCATCACTTGCTTGCACAGTGCCTTGTTGAGAACTTGGGTCCATGGCTTCGTGGGGTCTATACCACACTCGAACTCTACTCATCAGCTCTTAGCAAATGAAATCCTGACTCATCAGACCAAGCCACGTCTAGGGTCTTTTCCAGCCGTCTAGGGTACAACCGATATTGTCACGAGCTCCCGGTAGTCCATTAAAGCCAAATTTCGCCGCACTATCTTACCAGACATGCCCGTCATATGTCCCACATTGATTTCTACAGTTATTTCATCACGTCTAGGGTACAACCGATGTTGTCACGAGCCCACGGGAGGCGTTACAGACGATGTCGTTCTGTTAACAAAGGCTCTCGACTCGGTTTTCTGCTGCCATAGTCCATTAAAGCCAAATTTCGCCGCACTATCCTACCAGACATGCCCGTCATATGTCCCACATTGATTTCTAGTTATTTCATGCAGTGTTGCTTGTCTGTTAACACTAACAATTCTAGGCACAAGCACCGGTCTCGGTCATCAAATGCAAGCAGTCGGCCACTGCTTTGTCCATGATGGGAGGTTATGTCTGAAATTAGGTATTCTCGGCATTGTGGATCTCGGAATGTTGAATTCCCTAAAGACGTCGGAAATGGAATGTCTCTTGCGTCTAGCTCCAACTACCATTCCGCGTTCAAAGTCTGATAATTCCCGTCGTTCGGCTATATTCAGGCCAGAAACTTTTTCACATGAATAACTTGAATACAAATGAAAGTCCTGCCACAATGCACTGCTCATTTATATATTTTGTACGCGATACTTCTGCCATTTGTATATATTGTTATCCAATGACTTTTGTCACCTCAGTGGAAATCTAACTGCAATCGATAGTATTTTAAGAAACTTCCGTACAACTTACTCTTCAATGAAAGAGAGGAAAAGTACTTTATGTAATTTTATTAGGAAATTGTTTTGCACATTAATCTATCACTTGAAGTAATTATGATATTTTGTATATGGCATAGGATTTTTGGAAAATATATTTTAAGCAACTTTTTCACAGTACAGAGAAGCAATTCCACTAATAATACTTGGAAGATAAATTTAAGTTTCAATTTCCTGTTTCTAATTGCAGAAATGTTGAACTATAATTCTAATTTCTAAATCATGAATTATTATTATGTTCATTATTATAAAAAAATTAGACTTTATATTACCCACACAGATATATAAATTTTAATTTTAGGCATAAAGCTCAAAATTTTAACCGAAGACAGTGGAATCCCTGCAGTATCAAAATTTATTAATACAATACGAAGTTGCTATGATGCCGTGGATAAAAAATATGTAAGTAATTTATCTGCACTTAAAACGAAAGCAAATTAAAAGAATAGATTTATAAAACAATCTAATATCTTACGAGTATAATTACTAATTTTCAAAAGAATATCTAATAATAAAAACCCACCAGTTTTTTATCACAACTTAAATTTCTTAATAACTTTCTAAAAACTTAAATTTCTTAATAATAATTTCAACTT